TTGGAGCCGATTAGAAGAGGTGGGCGAGTAGTTGAAGATCCTTCTCGTTGAGTATTCATATCTGCACAAAATAAGAGTAATCAGTTCCCAAAATCTCACTAGATATATTTAGTGACAGGCTCTTGATGCCAATTGTTAGAATTATTTCGTGCAAATTAATTATAAATTTGTATCCGATAAATTCCAGATTCAGTTTTAGCTACTGTTCTACTGTTTTACGAAGAGTTGCAACAGTTAATGGAATAGTAATAAAAAGACACAAATTTTAAAGTGGTTTGGATACAATTGTACCCTACATCCACGGGGACCTGCAAATGAAATTCACTAATTTTTAGTTTTACGAATACAGTAATAGGACTTAATCGAAAATGCAAAGACTCCCTCTTTGTCGACGCCGTTCTTGTATCCTACGCTGAATTGTCAATCTTCACTTTGCAGCACGTCCCTTTCCGCACGGTTGAAATTCCTTCAACGCTGAGTCCCTCAGTCGGCGGATCGACCTCCTCCCGAGATCTTCTGAATTCTCCTCCCGAAGAACCGATCTTCTTTTCGGTGAAAGAAGCAAACCCTTTCTCTGTATTTTCTTCTCGGATTAAGATCAAAGGTCTGGGGCAGCAACGTAAGAGCAGAAAGGATTTTTTCTCTCAAAATAAAAGGGACCACTTAAAACAACGTTGATGCTCCCCTTCTTAGACTTCCTTAGGTGAATTAGTAGAGCCCTACAAAAAGTGGAGCCCATTAGGTTATATTTTATATCACGTAAGGAAAATAGGAGTTGTGTAACAAAGGAAATTCTTTTCAAAAGAAAATTCCTAGTTAACAAAACACTTAGGCAATTAAATAAATTAATGACAAAATAAGAATTAAAAGAACTAAGGAAACTTCCCTAGCTGTAAACACGTTTTTCACACTCGTGTTGAAAAACCGAAATTAGAATCCTCCCGAATTCTAACAGTCTCTTTATCTCGTTTTCTCCCATATTAATGCACTTAAGGGTGTGATTGGTTTGTGGAAAATGGTAGGTAAAATTGTGAAAAGTGTATGGAAAAAACGACCGGGCTTTCTTCTCTCTCCCCACTTCTTAAATTTCTCCCTCTTTTATGGCTTCCTTTGAAATTACCACCAGACCGGCAGACACTCCTTCACAACCCTCCTGCCGACCGCCGCCGCCTCACGTCACCACCACCAGACCCTCGACGCCGATCTCCATTATTAATTCACAATTTCTTTTTTCTTTTTTTTAATATTTTTATTTCTTTATTTAATTATTTATTTTTATTTTTAATGTGTGAAAGTTTTCTGTTTTTCTTTTTAATGGAAATCTGTGATAATTATAACGATGAACAAAATATGTTCGTCACCGTTTGTTTGTTATTTTCATTTTCCTTGATATTTTCCACACCGTTTTCTTTAGAAACCAAACAAAACTACGGAAAATGATATTCCAAAAATTATTTTCATGACCATTTTTCCTAGGAACCAAACACAATTGAGATTTCAAAAGTCGTTGATTTCCTTTTTCTTTGCATTTTTATTTTCTTTATTTTGAAATCCATGAACCAATCAGAGCCTAACAGAGGAAGAAAGTGGTAAAATTTAATACACAAGGGGTAAATGTTAAATGTTACTACCAATTATTTGAAATATCTTAGCAGTCAAACCCTATGCCTAAAACTCTGTCTCTATGTGTTTATTTAAGCTTTTCAAATTCTTTCCACACTTTCCCCAAAATGAAAATTATCTTTTTACACTATTTTCAAAAACTTTTCCCAAAACAAATTCAAATATTTCTCTCTCTAACAAACATGATTTGACCGTTACAGTGAAAATTGTCTTCACTAAAATACAAAATCAAATCACTTTATCTTTTAAATTCTTCTTCCAAAATACCTTTTTCCAACACCTTTCAGACATGATTTGACTTGCTACAGTACAAATTGTCTCCTCCCAAAACACAAACAAACTTTATTTAATTTTCAAATTCTTCTCCCAAAACATCTTTCCCCAAAATAAAATGGAAATGGAAGCCCAAAAGCTTACCAAACACAGCCATTATTTTCCACTTGCATTCACTATAATGCACTTTCAACGCAACTATTTTTTATTATTATTTAATTGTGACGATACAAGATTTCAAATTGGTATAATTAAACTGAAATACTAATTGTTGCGGGACTTTTACTGAAATAGGCTTATTTGCAGCGGTACTTTTCATTTCAACTTTTTGAAAAACTCAAAACGCTCTCAACTAAAAAAAGTCGAGAATTAAGACTTTCGTGTTTATTTGATAAATCGACCATCCGACGACAACAAATAACATTATGGCCGATTCTGATGACTTTTACGAGGTAAATCAAAGAAAGTAGTGCAAATTTATATTTTTCGTCGGGTCTATCGTGTTGTGTAGCACGGGAATCCAAAAAATTGGAGTTCCCGTGCTGCAAAACACGAAAAAATCAAAAAAAAAATATATCGTGCTGAGGAGCACGGGAACACCATGTTCCCGTGCCGTGGAGGACGGACCGTTGTGGTTCCCGTGCCCTAGAGGACGGGAACCATGAACAATCGTCCCCTACGGCACGGGAACCCTAATTTAATTTATTTTTTTTTATTTTTTATTTTTATATTGTTATTTATATACTAATTATTATTTGGTATATATCTTAATAGGCTAGTGAAGGTGATTTTGACGATGAGTTTAGAACTGAATATGACAAAGAGTACAACGAGTACGAGGATCCCAACATGTGTTTCGATGTTCCTCAAGACACACCAACAACTACTGAGGATCACAGTCAATATTTCAATGTGGGTGTTGAGTTTGAAACTGCGAATGAATTAGTGGGGTGGGCAAAAAAAATGGTTGCTACTCTTGGTCATCGATTGATAGTAACTTCAAGCAGAAAAACGTGTATGTAGTAATTAGATGTCATGTGTCTGGGAAGGGACGTGAAAAACGAACCGAAGGTGTGAAGCAACGGAATGTGGGAACAAAGAAATGTGGATGTCCGTTTCGTATATACTGTAGCAAAAATCGAAACGATGGATTATGGCGAATGAATTTAAAAAATGGCACCCACACTCACCCGACGCTACCGTATCTTGTCGGACAAGGACCGGATAGTCGTTTGACACAAGAAGAATACGAGGTAGTGAAGTTACTTAGAAGGAGCCACGTGAAGCCGGCATTAATCATGGATCGATTGAGAAAGGATAATCCACAGACATCAACGAGTGTGAAACATGTCTACAATTGAGAAGATGAAAAAAAAAGAATATGGCGGGGAAGACTGTGATACAACACGTGATGTCGAACCTTCAAGAATCTGGATATGAATATTGATATCGAAGTAATGAAGCTGGTGATACACTTACTGATTTGATGTTCGCTGCTCCTATTTCACTGAAACTTTTGCGGTTATTCTCTCACGTTATATTGATGGACTGCACTTACAAAACCAATAGGTATGTTGTTAATTAGTATTTAGTATTGTGCTATTGTAAATTGATTGCATTTGATATTTATGTATTTACGTAGGTATGAGATGCCACTTTTGGAAATAATTGGAAGCACTCATGTTGGTTACAATTTTACAATTGTTGTTGCTTTCATGTCACATGAAGATGCAGACACATATGAATGAGCTTTGAGTTGTTTGAAATGTGCATTGGGGGGGCTGGTACCTAATGTGATATTGACGGATCGTGAATTAGGACTCATTAAAGTAATGCCCCTAATATTTTCAGATTTCGCACATTTCTTGTGTTTGTTTCACATCAATAAAGACGTGGAAAAAAATGCATCGAGATTTATTGGTAGTACTAAACACGGGCTTATATTCCGGCGCATACATTGGGCAAAATTAGTGGAATCAAAAACAGAAGAAGATTACCATGAAAATTACGAGGAAATAGTTAGACGTTATGGTTGTTACCCCAAATTGGTATCATACCTTAACGATACTTGGCTTATTATATACAAGCACAAATTCGTCAAAGCGTGGACTAATAAGATTTTGCATTTTGGGAACACGTCGACATCTAGGTATTTTCGGTTTCATTACCGTCTTGTATTTTATATTATATTGTGGGTGTTTTTAATTATTAGTTGTTATTTTAAGGACTATTAACAGTTATTTTAAGGACTATTAACAGGGTGGAAAGTGCTCATAAATCGTCGAAGGGTTGGATTAGTGCTTCTACCGGTGCTGTGAACACCATTCAATATCAGCTCGACTCCGGGGTCGAGTATCAACTTACCAAGATCAAGGGTGAGTTTTCAAAATGCAGTTTAATCCGGTTGCATAAATCATCGTATCCGGTATTTCAGGGTTTGATATGCAAAGTCACACATAAAGCATTAAATTTTCTTGATGATGAGCTCAATAAACCAGGGTTTCAAGACCCATCTCTTTGTGATCACGTTCTGTGGGTTACTCGTGCACTTCCATGTGCATGCCAAATTGCGTTAAAAATCCAACAACGTGATACATTTATATGTATGGATCTACATCCATTTTGGAGTACCATGCACGTTGAAGAACCAGAAATACCTGAAGCACAGGTGGATCGTGAAACAAATATGAGAGACCGGATAATCAGACTAGCCACCGAAGTGTTAGGAAAAGATTACATGACTCAAAAGATGACTGTTGATTATATGAATAACACTATTCATCCAGACACCATCCACTTGGCAGAGCATGCATATGTTAAACCGAAAGGAAGGCCAAAAAATAAACCGAAGAGAGATAAATCTGGTTCGGAGTACCCAACATTCCCGCGGAAGTCGTCTACTGATGAAGAAAAGGGTAAATCGTCTGCAGGTTCTAAGGGTCGAAAAAGTACTTCTACCGGAACCCCACCATCGAAAGTATGGCTGCCCTCCAAGTGGACCACGTAGGCACGGCTCTCTAGACGGCTCTCTGCGGCATGGTCTGTCTAAAGCCAAACTGCCGAAGAACGCGATCCGGTAAATATGGCTCGATAATCTCCATAAACTATATGCACCCATAATATAGTGTACGCGGAACGCGTCTATGTACGTGCGGACCGTAAGGCATCCAGTCAATCTGGAAAATTAGATTAACGTAATAAAAATTAAATTTAAGTAATAATTAATAATAAATAAATTTAACAATTAAAATACATACCTGATCGGCCTGCATATCACCAAGCATCCTTCGAACTCAGAGCAAGTCCGAAATACCCTTGCGTGGTTTCCATTTCAAGAAACGAGGCTGCATCTTCCTATAATTCGGATTAATAGGTGCTCGCAAAGGACGAAAGTACTCATAAATCCAACACTACAAATAAATGAGACTATATTAGATTAATATTATATTAAATTACAACATATTATATTAAATTAATGTAGTATTAGACTAGATTATATTATATAAGTACCTACGTTATACTAATTAATACTACATTATTAACATAATATATTGACTATAATATATTATATTAAATTATAATATATTATATAAGTACCTAAGTTATACTAATTAATACTACATTATTAACATAATCTATCGAGTATAATATATTATATTAAATACAACTTGAATACCTGAAGCAGTAACGTGCAACCCTGTAACCCCTTCACGTGGGCCCTACTAGTCAAGCTCAACTGCCGGTATAAATGAGCCAAGACAGCTGCACCCCAAACATACTCGCCGACGTGCTCGAGATCGGAAGAATATCTCATCCACGTTGGCTTGAACCTGTCCACACTCCGGTCGGGGAACAAAGTCATACCGATCAAAAACGTCAAATATCCTACCACCTTCTGCCGATAAGATCGGGACCGACTGCGTACACGCTCAACAAACTCCGAACATTTTATCCCACTATTGCCGAGCTTGGCATGCGCCTCGACCATGTCCAAATCAAGAACCTCAGCTAGCAACAACTCACACATAGGCCTCTCCTCAACAGAATCACCGTGCACTGCTAGACCGTCAACACGCAACCCCAAAATAAATGCGACATCATGTAGGGTGATCGTCATCTCACCCCAAGGCATGTGAAAATTGTTCGTTTCCGGCTGCCACCTCTCTATAAATGACCCCATGAGTCCCTTATCTACATTTTTTATGCAACAATTAGAATTATTTTGCCACTTGCATTCACTATAATAGACTCTCAACGCTACTATTTTTTATTATTTTATTGTGACGATAAGATTTCAAATTGCTAGAATTAAATCATAGCGTGGGCCCCCCGCCCTTACTTGGGAATCGGGACTGTATTAACCTGATTTGGCAATTAATTACAATAAGGGGATCACTATTTCAAATACTAATTTTTGCTTACTTGAATACCAAAAAAATAAAAAATAAATAATTAATTGTAAATTACTTTAATACCCTTAATGAAAATTAAAACCAAAAAAATATTACAAATACTATTTTTCTTTCTTAAAAACCAAATAATCAAAAACCTAAAAAAAACATTTCCCTCCTCACTCACAAACCCCTCACCTCCTCCACCTCCTTCTTCTCACTCCCCAAAAGCCCTCCTAAAAAACCCCAAAACAAAAGAAATCAAAACCTTACACAACTTGCAAAATGGCCTCAAATGACAATAGAATGGTAGTTTACGAGCAAGGAGAACCCATTCAGGTATGTATTCATGTATTTTTTGAGCTAAAACATCGATTTTGAATTTTTTTTTTTTTTTAAAACTCGCCATGTATTTTCGACACATACAGGTCGAAAATACCCTTATTTTTCGACGTGTATGTGTCGAAAATACCCTTAAGTTTCGACGCCTAAGTGTCGAATTATGATACAATTTTCGACACTTCAGTGTCGAAAATTACCCATCTTTTCGACACTAAGGTGTCGAAAATTGTATCATAATTCGACACTTAGGTGTCGAAAGTGACCTCTATTTTCGACACTTAAGTGTCGAAAATATGGGTAATTTTCGACACTTAAGTGTCGATTTGGTTCCTGTTGCAAATTTTCTTGTCTTATATTTTCGACACTTTTGTGTAGATCGATTGCACCCATTCATTTACCACGTCAGAAAAATTCCCAACAAAAGAAGCTTTATTGGCATGGGTTCGTGAAGTATGTAAAAGAATTGGAATGGTGTTAATGATTGCGGGTTCGAGTGACGGGGATAGAGGACGTAGGACACCGTATGTGATTGTTCGTTGTGAGCGTGGGGGCCATTATGTTGGCAAGAAGGTACCAAGTGAAGATGATCAAAGACCGGGAAAAAGGAGCACCGGTTCAAAGAAATGCAATTGTCCATTTAAATTGAAGGGGACAAGAGAACACAAGGATGATGAAAAGGCTGAGTGGAAATTGGATGTTCATAGTGGTATTCACAACCACAACTTATTCGAAAACTTGCACGGACACTCTTATGCTGGAAGATTATCAAAGGAGGATGTTTCCTTTGTTCACACTATGAAGAAAGCAATGGTGAAACCAAGGGCAATTCTAAGAGCATTGAAGCAAAAGGACCCGTCTAATGTAACTGGTATGAAGACAGTTTACAATACTATCTCTAAGTTAAATTTCAGTGAATTGGATGGGAGATCTCAATTGCAATCATTGTTCGTCAAGTTGAAAGAAGATGAATACCTCTCGTACCATAGATCGAACGAGTTGAATGCGATTACCGACTTGTTTTGGATCCACCCGAAATGCATTAAGTTGGCACAGTCGTATCCGTACGTATTAGTCATCGATTGCACGTACAAGACCAATCGTTTCGGACTCCCATTTCTTGAGATTGTGGGTTTTACTTGTACCAACAAGACGTTCTCAATTGCCTTTGCATACTTGGACCACGAAAAGACGGAAAATTTTGAATGGGCGTTGCGTTGTTTGAAGGAGGCCATGACCAGTTGTCCTCGGCCTAATTGCATTGTAACAGATCGAGATTTGGGTTTAATGAAAGCAGTGGCCAATGTGTATCCATCGAGTCATCACTTGCTGTGTCGGTGGCATGTGAACAAGAATATAGTGGCCAATTGTAAGAAATTGTTCCCAAAGGACATCACCAAATGGAAGCAATTTCAGTCGAGTTTTTCGGCTCTTATTGAAAGAAATACCATAGAGGAGTTCAATGAGGATTGGGAGGATTTGAAAATAACATTTATGGGTTATCTCCCGGCTATAGAATATGTAGCTAATTCATGGTTGGATCCGTACAAGGAGAGACTTGTATCGGTGTGGACAAATAAGTATACTCATTTTGGAACGTACACTTCTAATAGGGTGGAGGGGGCACACGGACGAATGAAAAGGGATGTGCATAATTCAACTGGCACATTTGAGGATTTGTATACGAAAGTCCACAATCAAATTGTCGAACAACACAATGACATCAAGGCTTCCTTTGAAGTAAGTAAAAATACTTACGAGCACACTTTCAAAACGTTGATATACAATGAGCTTCGTGGAAGTATCTCAACATACGCTCTGCAACTACTCAAAGTTGAGGTGGACAATGCGAAACTATTGCAACCGAGCGATATGGGTTGTAGTTGCGCCATCCGAACAACCCACAGTCTACCATGTCGCCATGAACTTCATGAGTATGTTGTTGTGAACAAATGTCCTATCCCACTTGAGTTAATAGGCTCGTATTGGAAACACATGAGTATGGAGCCCGTCGCGACCACATACCAAGTCATCCTACCAACCATCGACGAAGAATTATCGGAATACCAAAAGCTCTTTGAATGTGCCGATCTCGATGCAAAAACTCGATTGCGCAACCATTGAGACATTTTACCCACCCAGAGAAGACTAACCTTACGGAGCCAAGTGAAAAAGTTGTTAGCAAAGGTCGACCGGCTCGATGGCGGTGGAATTGGCCCTATCGAGCTACCTGGAGGTGGTGGTGGGGCATCCGACGAGCTCGAATGAGGTGGAAGTGGGGCATCCGGCTCGATCAATCTGACAATATCATTTAGGGTCCCCCACATGACCGTATGAGCGTCGGATGGCGCAAGTCCCCGCACCTCGCTAAGTGTACCCTTCACCAACTCCAAAATTTGTGAAAGTTGGACCTCCTTATCGGTACCACCCCCTGGACGAGCTTCATGGGGTCGAGGTCGATCCGCCTGGGGTCGAGGTGGATGGGCTCCATGCCTACTCAGTTGTAACATGCATCTGGGTCAGAACCAATTCATGTAGTCCGGCGAAGTGTCCGCCTCCCCGAGTTCAACTTCAACGGACCTCGACTCCTCGTCCAGACAATACTCCTCCCACCGATCAGAGAATCGTTCGCCGTACGCAACGAAAATTGAGTTCTGGACCGGTCGACCTTTGCTAACTAGAGCTTTGTACATATCTTTTGACATGTATGCACGACCTGGAATGATTTGCACCCGATTGAACTGCCTCAACACTCTGTCCGGATGATATGCCTCGAAGTGGTCCATGCAACATATCATCCCACTAAACCAAGCAGAATCTGGCATCGGGAAACGATCACGAATAGCCGTATACGGTGACCATAAAACCTAGTAAAATAAATAAAAAATTAGATTTAAAAACCTACTTAAGTAGTAATAACAAATTATTAAACTGGTATTTTACCTGATCGGGGATCAAATCATCTAATCGAGATCGCAGGTACACCGCTCGTTCAGGCGTTGAAGTAGTCTTTGACTGAGGCTCCCATCGGCTCGCTAATGGCCCCTCGAATTCCGTCTTCAATGTGCCACCCGCCAAATAAGGAAAGTGCTCGTAAATCCATGACTGAAAGAGCGTCAGCCAGCCAGCCATCGAGTTCGTTGATTTTTGTGAGGCTGAGGAAAGCTCATCGTACAACCAGCAAAGACATGCAGTGCCCCAAGCATACTCGCCGATCCGATCCAAATCAGATACAAGATTTAGATACTCAACGCTTACCATGTTGCATGTCTTGTCGCACAGTATAGTACACCCGAGCAAAAATAACAAATACGCCCGAATGGCGTATGTCCTCTTCTCCGCACTATCTCTCATGGTCACTTTGCTAAATTTAGCCTTCAACCATTCCAACTTCACCGCTTTCTTCTTGTTTACATCGTCCGGGTACTCACCTAGCAACTCGAACATCAAACTACTGGGGATCGTTTTGGAATCACGGATCAAACGCTCGCAAGATACGGTACGCCCAACAACTGGCAAACCGACCAACGTACTCACATCGTCAAGTGTGATGGTCATCTCTCCAACAGGTAAGTGAAATGTGTTGGTAGCTGGCTGCCATCTCTCTATGAAGGCTCTAAGTAGATGGCCGTCCACAGTGTTTTACGATGCTTGTACAACTGACATTAAACCACATCTTTGTACTACCTCTGTAATAAACGGCGCCGGCTCCCAACCTTTCAAAGTTCCTGTGTGATTTCGAATTCGAAATTCTGAGCCGCGCTCCGAGCGATTTGGCCCTCCGTTCACAATATGATAAGCAATGTGCTTATCAAATTTTGTTTACAATTCCGGTATCTCGGGACCTCGGACCGGTTCGTTGCTCGAATCACCAACTTCTACAGTCAAAGGTAGAGTCGGCACCGGATTCGTTGACGAAGAACCCTCTCCAGACTTCTTCTTGGTCGTGGTCTTTTTCTTGGTCGTGACTGCTATGCCCTTGCCTCTATCGGATAATTCCTTCCTCTTCTTACGGTTCGAGACAGTCGGAGGTATACGAGGTTCACATGGTTCTTCCACTGCAAAATAACACACAAATAAAAATTAATATACATAATATAAACACAAGCAAATAAAAATATGAAAGAAAACAAATTAAAAAAAAAAATATTCACAGTTCAAATTCGACAGGTACCTGTCGAATTACCAAAATCCCAAATTCAACAATTTCACCTTTTCGACATCTATATGTCGATTTTTGATGAATTTTCGACATCAACATGTCAAAAATTCATCCAAAATCGACATATACAGGTCGAAAATGGTGAACGAAGAACCGACCCACGAATCTCAAATCAATGCTCAAATCGACTGAAATCAAATGCACCCATTACTAATTAACGATCATTCTAACCTAAAACAACCAAATCCTAATTACCCATATCAAACAATCAAATCTTAAATAAATATT